AAAAATAAAATTTGCGTTAGTTCAAATCTGTCAAAATATAATCGATCTGTGAGACTTCGTACATAGTGATACACTGAGTGTCCTCGAAATAGAATGTAAAAACGACGAAATAAGCAAATTCATCTTCCAATCATAAATGAAAGGTACAAGTTTTTTTTTCTCACAAATTACCATATTATTGACACATTCAAAACTTAACGCTACCTAGTTTAATGCAGATGTTGGTTTTCTTATCAAGTACTTCTGTAACCAGTTAACCAGAAAAACGTATTGAAAACTTTATAAGTATAAGAAACATCGAAAAAATATGTCCAAGTATCATAGCTACCATAGTAATAATCTTTATTCACAACTAACTATTGGATGGGTATTTCGATGTATCGATTCAAATTTTCGATGGGTATCAAAATTTTAGTTAGAGCTCCTGGAATTGTCTTTTCCGAAAGGTCGAAACTCACACCCACCCACTCTTTCATGGATAGTAATTGCTCAATTTATGTATACGAAAATTGAGTAAAATGAATGCAATCATACAATCAATTCACAATATTAAGCAATCAATTCGATCACCAAACAATATACTCTCTTCATGGTTAAACAAACTTTATTAAAGCACTTTCTCACAACAACACTATTCATTTTCATGGATCAGTCCAACAGTAAGCGTGTCAGTCAAACAATACAGTGAGGCATCTGTGTGATCCCAATAATTTCATAGGTCATCTTTCCCATGAAAATCTTCAGCGTATTGATAGAGTTGAGAGTCCTCGAAATATTAGACTCCTTATAAGATAGAAATTTGCGACTCATTAATTCTACCACAGTAAACTTCATATATACATTATTGATTTTCTGAGTCATACAAACAAATGATCAACCACATTGTCGAACACTAACGAAAGTATCTTGAAAACAAAGAGCATTACCTCCTGCGTTGCTTAAAACACTCTCAAGCAATATTCACCGACATGAAGAAAAAGCAGCAATAAGGACGTCGACTATCTATTTTAATTAAAGCCACTCTAGTAGTCAAGCAAGAAAATAAAGATATTCCTGTACCGTTAGGCATCCACTAAAAGACAATTAGTGTGATGTCTTCAAACTAAACCAACTCAGATTGAAGATCAAATGCGTTTATTGTTGTTGCCCAAAAAAAACACACCAACAAAAAAAAAACAAATCTTCCACACCAATAGAAACTTTCATTTTAAATTAAAAAATCTTCCAAATCAATGTTGACAATTTTGTTTGTTGTGCATTCTGTTTAATCAATTCTTCCAAATAGGTTCGAAGATTGTATTCAATTGCATTCCTCAAGACAACTAGTCTGGTCAGTGTCTGTAATAAAAGTGCAGAAGAGTAACTGAGAGAACTGAAGAGAATGAAAGTCATTGTGTTATTTTGTAAAGCATCAGCCATGTGTTATGCTCCTATATCTCCAATTTGATTCTGGGAGAGATCCAGGGTAGTGAGTGTATGTGATAAGAAGTAGAAATGCATAGATGAGAGAGACGACGAGAGAATGAGAGTCACTGTTATTTCGTAGAGCATCAACTGCATTTTGTGTTCCGATGTTTCCGATTTCATTCTAGGAGAGATGTAGTGTGGTGACTGTCTGTGATATAAAGTGCAGATATATACTTAAGAAATGAAGAAAGAATAAGGGTCATCGTGTCGTTTCGTAATGCGTCAGCTATACATTGTGCTCCGTGAGCTCCGATATCATTGTTTCGGAGAATTAGTGTGAAGAGCGTCCGTGTGAAAAAGTGCAGATAGATATATGAAAGAGATAAATAGAGAATGAGAGTTTCCGCGGTATTTCCTACTGAGGTTCAGAGTATGAATGGTTTTTTTTCTGTTTCTGTTGGATTATACTTAGGACACCAAAAGTAGTGACGGTAATCCTGTAATCTCTCATAGAAAGTTCGAATAAATTTTCTCTCTCTGCGTACTGATTATCCAAATGACACTCTTCAGTTCTAGAATACTTCATCATTGTTGGGCTGTCACCAAGATATTGAGAACAGAGCAAAAGTATTGGCGATTCGACAAGCAAACAAATTTTAGGATGTTCACAAAATCACTAAACAAACAAAAAATTGAATATTTCTACTATACTTTTACCAAAGAAGATGATATTTTCACCACTAATAAAGGACTGTTGAATGTTCATATCGATAGGAGAAACGTTGAGGAATATTGTTTTCGAGTGTTGTAGCTAACTTCGTGAAATACTTGTAATCTTGACGAGTTATGAGAAAAACAAAATATTTATGTTTTGAGAAGAATAAACTATATATCTGCTTTCTCTTTATTCTTTGCACTATAAGGTCTTTTTATTCTCATCTTTACACCACAGATATATGTCTTGTTACTCAATGTATCTTGAAAGTTTCAGCCATAGGTAGTAAGAATTTGTAGAGAAAACTGCAATAGGGATCATTGATAATCCGTGAAAAATTACAGTTCTTCGACGAAGTCAGTTGTGATATTCGAAAAACAATTTTTCTCATTGTTTCTCTTATCCATATGAGCTATGAACGTTTCTTTATCAGTGGTCACTATATTTGCCCAGAATATAGCAAAGCTATTCAAGTTTTTGTTTGTTTAGTCATTGTTTAGATGCCCTAAAACTTTTTAAATATGCTTTAATACTTTGAAAACATTCCAAAGCTGTTTATTTGTAGTCTCACGACAATATTTTGGTACGATGAATTTGGATAGTAGACAATAAGATTCTAATTTATAACGCTTTAATCATATAAGAGAAACATCACATACTGTCAGTAATCTTGAGTTTTCGAAATAATTTTTTTCTGTAACTGAAAGAAACTGTTATAATTTCATGATACGGTGTTTCAGCTAATTTTTGTAGCGATCAGTTTTCGCTTGTCTAATTTAAATAGATGTACTCTATTGGCAAAAATTCTGATGTTTCAAATACTAATAAAATCTGTGTTGTTGGATCTATCAATATAGAACATTGATGGGTCCTTTTTTTCAATATGCATGAAGTAATGAAATATAGAAAATGTGTTAGAATGGGACAAGAGAGAAATCAGTAGCTTTCAAAGAGAAGAATATTTAAACATACAGCGTTGTGAAAAATTACAGAATCACCTTTTGGCTTTGTCTTCTGTCAAATTTTCTTGCTGGCTAATACAATTTTTTTGTGTAAAATTCACTACCAACCTAAAGATTCATATGTACTCTTCAGGTGTTTATTGCAACAAATACTGCAAATGTAACAATGAATCTATGTATGGGTAATGAGTGTGACACAAAAAATGACATTAGCCAAGAAAAAATTTCGAGAGAAGTCAAAGTTGGCAGGTGATTCTATGATCTCTCTAAACACTATAAGTAATATTTTATATGTGCGAAAATACTACTACGTTTTTTTTTCTTCTGTAACAAGCTGAGTTGAATTGCATTCGCCTAGCGGTTTTCTCATTCATTTTGGTCTCTAATACGATTGTGTTCAATGTTTATTCTACTCTATCGTTCTTGATAACTCATTCTCTTCGACGAAGTAGACGATATAAAGTTTTCAAGATAATTTAGTGACTAACTTGAACTCAATGGATGTATTGAAACAACGAAATAAAATCTTCTATGAAATGCGAAAAATAATGCTTTCAAGAGAAAAATTTTCGGAATAGCTTTGTTTGACTTTATTGATATGGAACCAATTTTAAGTGACATGATCAGATTAGTGATTCGTTTCGCAACCGCCTATAGCTCAGATAAAAACGAAAACGTAGAAAGCCAACGAGAATGACCGTAAAACTTCGCTGCAACAAAATCTTGATTTTTGCTGTCACAAATTGGTTTAAAGGAAAAGTCTCTACTTTTAATGTTACAATTCTTTTCGGTAAGTACAATCGCATTAAAAATCAGTTCTGTGCGCCTTATATTTCTTTGGAATTAACTTTTTCGAAGGAAAACTCGACATTGTTTTTTTCAGTACGATACCCTTAATAATGGAGCAAAAATTTTTGGGAGTCTGTGTGAGGTAATTTACAAGAACCTTTTGGAGGAAAAAATTACTAAAAAACTATCGCCAGTTCAATATCGTCCAGCATGCAATAGTGACGTGGACAACCATGATTCAGTCCGTCCCTAAAATCCGCATCGAGAAATTCTAAATAGCATTTACTGAACACATATTCGTTCTTCATAAGATTGATAATTTGAATCTAACATAAGAGTTTCCAAATCTTTCTGATGAAAGTGTATTAAGACTTGTATGACCAGATCTAAAGCTTTCCACAGTCAGAAAAGTTCATCAATTCCTCCGTTGGTTTGAAAAATTAATCTGGTTTTCGCTATTGATTGAAGAAAAATATCGAATATCGAATAGGATGCACTGACGCATATGGCTCACTCTGCTCAGAATAGCTTCGAAAACGAGAAGCCATTCTGTTTTTCATGAGAACCAAAAAATTTTCTGGGAGAAAGTCTCAGCTCATCGTAGTCCTCTCGTGATTAGGCCACTACATAAAATATTGAGAACAGAGGAATAAATCAAGATGCGCACAATGTGGACTGCATGAAATCGCCTAATTTCGATAGAAACAGACATGTGACAGGCAAGTGGACAAAATGAGAAAGACAAAGTCGAATTCCGGTCAAGAACCGATTTGGCTTCTTAACGAACCTCTCCTTTCGTTTTAGCATTAGGTTTTGTCTATACATGCTATGTAATTAATTGATGCACATTTATCAGTATTATATCTTAATATATATTTAGTGGAATCAGTTGTATTTATAACATTAGTTTTTGCGTGGTTTAAAAATAATTTTAAAAAGCTAGATAAAATATTATATTATTCGCAATCAGATATGTAAATAGTGAATTTTTTATAATGCTATTTATATTATAACACAACAAACCTTTTTATCTAAGAACGTAACATAGATAATAGAGCAATCGATTAAAAAAATTAAAAAAGAAACTTTTAAGTTTTTCTTTTTTGCATTCTATTTAGAGAAAATAGTTATGAATAAAAATTTTTATTATCTTTGACCATATCTATTAATAATTGTGTTGGAGAAAAACGATCACCATATTCTAATTGATAATTATACATTAAATCAACTATGTTAGAAATGCCATAAGTATCCATAAAACGAAATGTACCTAAAATGGTAAAATGTAAAAACAGGAAAAAACATCATAATTAGTTACCTCCTTTCATTGGAGGAAAGCCAAGACCGAACACAGCACCTATATCACCATCTGTCTAAAAATGTAAATGAGACTTGTTTCAAAAGTTATACAACGAATATTTGACAATTAAACAGCTGCACATTGAGAGAAAGTATAAAACCAAAAAGAAAATTTAGCTTTTTAACTCATACTGCTATTCGTCATCACATTAGTTATCTACTAAATTTTTAGTAGCCATCCGAATACACTCAAAACAGGATACGCGGAAGGTTTTAACGTAACTGCTTTCCCTTAATAAACTTTTTGATTTATTATTATCAAGTAGACATAAGAATCATGTTATCTCTTTGCATTAAAAGACAAATTTAAAGAAGTTTATAGTGAAGTGGTTTATGTGATATATGCGTCAGAAGGAAATACAGAAATTTTGAAATCCCGAATCTTACTATTGCTATATTGTATTAATGATATTACAATGCCATCATGAATTAGCATGACATTCAATTACTCGAAAGAGATCGTACTAATCCAGTTAAGGATCAATCAATGTTGTAATAATTCAACTAAATGAATAAAATAAAATCTTTCATAAAACAGAATTTTGCTATTACTAATTCTCCTTCGGTTCTTATATAATTTAAAGGATCTTCTGCGGATCAAAATCTTTGATATTTGAAAATCTACACCTGATATTTAAAAAGATTAGTAATAATACATATGTTTGCAGCTAATCAGATAACATTGCCAAGTGTACAATCACGTTTCGCTTAAGAATATTATCATTCGATCGGTCATGATGAATAGTAAACAAAAAAAGTCTTGTTTTTTTGTTCAGTTTTTTAGTTTTCATTTGGCGAATTTATGGCCATTTTATTCGAGTTTTATTCTATGATTATAGAATAGCTGAGAAGCTAGACGATTGAATTTTAAGCTAAAGTTTTGTCCACAAAGAGGCCTCGCTTTCGTTCAAAAAAAAAAACTATCAATTCAATCATCCAGATCTTCAGCTATCCTATGTTCACAATACAAAAACGAATAAATTATCTATAAAACAATTCTTTGCAACATATTTTCAATACATACTGGAGAATTAATAACATTTTCTTCAAGACATCTTGCAGCTTCATTTAAAATTCGAAGACTTATACGCCATTGAATAGTTTCTATTCTTGGTCTAAATATTTAATTAGATCAAAAGAAAATATATCAAATACTCTCTATATTTACATGTCATGAGTTTGTGTCAAAGGATGTTTAAGTAATTCTTTACATTTCGGATTAATCTTCTTCTTACCATCATTAGAATAAATATATAAACCTTGTCCAGATTTTTTTCCAAGTAAATTATTTCTAACAAATATTTGAAGTAATTCTATTACAGACGAATTTGCAAGACGTTCACCAAATATGTTCTTCAGATGATATACTACATGTGTAATTATATCAATACCAAATTCATCTAATAATATTGCTAAACCAATATGAAAACCAAATTTTTTTGTTGCTTTATCAATATCATTCGGTGATAAACCTTCTTGTAATAGATAAAATATTTCAATAAAAGAAAATATTAATAAACGTGTTGTATAAAATCCTGGACTATCATTAACTACAATAATAATTTTTCCTTGTTTAAGTCCAACATTAACTGCTGTACAAACTGTATTATCAGATGTTTGTTTAGCTCGAATTATTTCTAATAATTCAATTTTATCAACTGGAGAAAAATAATGCATACCAATAACCTATTATTTATAACAAAAAAAAAAAAATAATCTTTTTTTTTCTTATTTTATTTTAATGATTTTACTTGATGTGGGCGTCGACTATGTGCAGCTATTTGATGAATAGATAGTATATATGTATTAGATGCAAATATACAATGTTCTGGAATGTATTGTTCAAGTTCATTAAGAATATTTTGTTTTAATTTAAGATCTTCAAATACAGTTTCTATTATAATATCACATTTATCAAGATTATCAAATGTTGTTTGACAATTTAAATTCGTTAATATTCGATTATATTCAGTACTAAATTAGAATAATGTTATATTATAATCAAATGAGAATTATAATATTTCATTTCTTTTTTACTTTGTTATTCGATTCCGTTTAATATAATGTTGATAACTCTTAATTATTTGTGATTGGCCAAGATGAAGTGCAGTTGATGTTGTATCATAAAGTATAACTTGAAAATCTTTATCGATAGATACATGTGCAATACCTGCACCGATGATACCAGCACCCATAACGGCAATCATTCTGTTATAAGAAAATATAGTACCACTCAAATTAATTAGAACAATATAGTTCAAATTTCTTCAATAACATGACAAGTAGAACTCTTAGATGATTGCATAAAATGGGTATAGAAATCTTGATATTTACTGTGTTTAATAGAATGATATATTAATCTCAGATTAATATCTTATCCTGATAATTGTAAACGTTAATACTCATGTAAATGAGAAATGTGCAGAGTAAGGATTAGAAAATTTTCCTAAGTCAGATTACCAGGCACGAAAAAACTTACCTTGCATATCTCTAATGTAAACTTACTTGACTTCTTTTTCGGATTTTCCATATTTATTTTTTTTACATTCAGTACGTCCATGAAATAGACTAATTAATGCTTTTGATTCATTGGTTATACAGAGATCTGCAAAAGCCTAAAGTTTATAAATTCATTTATTTTTTCGTTTAAAAAAAAAAATTTCAAATTTTACTTCTGCTTCAGCATAAAATCCAACTTTTGAACCATTTTCTAAAGTTTGTTGAATAACCTAATAATAAAAAGCTTTTTGTACATGTGTTCTTTTCTGCTTAATGAATAAATTCAATACAAACATCCAAAATTTTCAACGGTGCTGGATAAAGACCTTGTGTTTGTGACATAACTTTTGCTTGAGCTTGAGATAAAATATAATTTCGTACATAAGAATTTAACATTATTGTTGATTTTATATCTATCATGAATAGTTAATAAATAATACTAAGAAAAATGAGATATCCTACTTTCCATTAGTCCAGGTTTTCGCTTTGAAGGTTTTTGTACAACAAGTTCTCTTAAAAAAATCAGAAGTATAAACAAAATGAATTTAACGACAGAAATCTCATTGAATCTCGAAAAATTGACTTATATTGAATACTAATATCTGCAGTAGAATCATACAAACTAAAATATTGATTTTTATATCATACTCATGTAGAGCTTTTGTTTTATAAAATCTTTGTTTTTAACCATTGAACACCTACTTGACTTTTTGTATAGCAATCGAACGTAAATATTCAATATTTTGTTCTTCAATATCTTGAACATCCGATTGGATAGGTTCAATAACAATATCAACTAAACCCATTTCTTTGGCTTTTTTTGCTTTAATTTCTTTACCCGTTAATATAAGATCTAATGCATCTGATAATGAAAGATTTTTTAAAAGTCTTTGTGTACCACCAGCACCTGGTAATAATCCTAATTTAACTTCTGGTACGCCAAATCCGGTTCGTTTATCATTCATCGCAATTCGATAATGACATGCTAAAGCAACCTAATGAGAAAAGACTGATAAAACTAACGTCGAAAGGACGAACAAAAATCTTACTTCAAATCCACCACCAAGACATGATCCAGCAATAGCTGCAACAATTGGTTTTGATGATTGTTCAATTTGATTCATAATTTCTTGACCATTGCGGGACATTTGATAAAGTTCGTCACGAGATTTAACGGATTCAATCATACTGAATAAATAAATGAATATTGAAATCGAAATGCAAAAATTTTTTTTTTCTAACTTAATGTCAGCTCCAGCAATAAATGAACCAGGTTTAGCTGATATAACAATAATTCCTTTAATATTATCATCATTTTTTAAATGATTAAATACTGAAACAAATTCATTCGTCATTTCTCGTGATAATGTATTAACCTTAATTAATTATTAAAATTATTAAGTTCTCTTTTAAATGAAATTTTACTTTCGAATTTTCTTGATTGAATTGAACAATAGCAATAGTATCTTCATAATCAAGTTTTAAATTTTTTAATTGTTGTAAATCAGCTAAATAATTTTAATATACGAGAAAAACCGAAGAATATAATCAATAACTTACCCATCGTTAATAAACTAATGATTTTTATGTCTAAACCGTAAATCTGTTAGAAAAAAAACAATTGATTATTTTTAGATATATTACAATGATTGAAATTATCAATTCAAAAATTAATTTAACCTAAACAAGTCGTCGAGGATCTTATCTTGTCTGTAATTTACCTTCGATAGAAAAATTAACCAATGAAAATAAAGATTGAATACATGAGTTATAATCATAGTGATAGAAGTATTTTGATAGTATTTATCGACGGCAATACGTAATGGAGAAATATTTTTGATCATGAGAAGACTATTCAAGAGTGTCTGACATAAGAAAGTTTCCATTCTGGAATATGAAACAATGAAATCGTTGTTCTTGTCTTTGACGCGAAATGCACAGAAATTCAGTTCATATCAAGCCATGAGCTCTCAGGGTTGCGTGGCTGTGTTTTTCGGCAGATATCTACAAGCTATTGTACTCAAACTTCTGTATCAAGAGATATGAAATGACTCTGGACAAGTTACTAACTGTTGTTTGTCTCGAACTATTCGTCCGATAGCATGCTAACTACGTTGTGGCTAGTATGTGATTAATTAGTGTGTACGGATGTTCAAGCAATAGAAACCAAGAAATCTATATCAAGCCGGCCTTTTGTTTAGAGCTACAACTAATCATAGTTGTGGGAAAAGGTCGGACTACTGATTCTCCTACTAGGTGTACCCCATAGTCCAGAGTAGCCGAAAGGCACAGATATTTTTTCTTTCTTCTTCTCCTCAGCTTCAAGTCAATAATATATGATCAGCTTCAATAGTCTGGAGTTGAGTCTTTTTGTTTCAGATTGAATACGAGCCTTCTATTACTGCTTACAGAATTCAAACATTTACATAGGTTTCCAATCAGCATTATTATAATGAGAATCTTCCAACATTATAAGAGCAAAATCATCAAAACAACTGTACGTCAATCTAACAATGTGACGAAAATCTCCATTCGTTTTATTTCACAATGCTTCAAATTTAATATTAATATTACTTTCAACAGCTATCTGTCATTAACTAATGACTTGTATCTCAACTTCTCGACGAACAGCGAACTATTCAAGAACAAGTATTACCTTGAGATAATACAAAACTAAAATTAATTCTACTCATACACTTATAGATTTTCCTTCTTTTTACCTGATAAATTTATATGTCCTGGGCTTGATTAATTATTGATCAATACAATAAATTAAGTTTGCGCCAGACTAAGCTTGCAAGATCTTTCGAAAAGCGAAGAAAGTTGTTGAAATTAAAACATATCTCTGATTTTGATCATTGATTCTGATTTTTTCAGAAATGTGAACTTTTTTTAAATTGTGAGTTTATCAATAAAATTGATTACGATTATAACTCATTACTATAATAGATTAATATCGTGTCGTGTTTATTCTTTGTTAATCATTGATAGTTTCTAAGTTCTATAACTACTGACGAACAATGAAGCGCACTGATAAATTTCGGCATTGTTGAAATTAACATAAGAATGTATGCTAATTATTCTTGTCAACAGCTTTATCCAGCTCTAGATGTCTTTTATTAGTCTTCTTTGTATTAACTAGGCTATATATGGGTTTTGTACCAGTATGTCAACATACCAGCTGTTCGTTTTCAAAAATTGTCCTTTCTGATTTCTAAGTTTTTGATCTGCAACCCTGATAGCGACTAATTTTCGTATCGATCATTTTTTCGGTTTCTCGATTAAACAATCCTTGAAAGTTACTTATCATGAATTAGATCCATCTTTTACTAATTTAAAAAGAGCACATGACTGCTCTATAGTTTGTTCTTCGTGATAAGTTATTTCAAAAAGAATATCATCTACCACTTCATTATTCATCTTTCTATTTCTACTTGATTCGGCGCTACTAAGATTCATATAATCCCTGTTAACTGTTTTATATTGTTTCTTCACCAACTCTGTTACCACACTATGATATTTCGAGCACAATCAACGAACTAATATTCATTTGTTTAAAACAGAAACAATGGTGCATAGAATTGCAAAGACAAAAAGAGATCCGACGTGAATCTATCGCTACATAATAGAAACCTGTGTGTAGATATCAGATATTGACGTAATTTTGCTTTTAATAGTTTTCCAGCGTTACCCCAAATTTAAAGAAGAAGCCATCGCCGAGTCGAAAAAGTAGAATTAATGTTATGAAATATCGAAATAAATTTACGTAAGCAAATGAGATAATAATCTTACATTCATCAATTAAATTTGATTTCGAACATGGATTTGGGACTTCCTCAGCTGCTCTATAGGACATAGAATTCATATGAATCTAATTTTCTAATTGTTGAAGATTAGTTTTGTGAAAAAAAAGTTCTCGCAATAAAAACAAACTAATTTTTATTATGCAAATTTTATCAGTTACTATCATCTTTTTTTTTCATTTTTAATGCAATGTTCTTCTAGAACAGACACTGAATGCCTTATGACTATTCAAAAATCGTTGAAATAAACGCTTGCTTTTTTGATCGCTGCATAAAGTATGTATGAAAATTATTTCTTATGTGTATACAAGTGTTAGACTCTTCTTAGAAATGATTTGAATTTTGATATTTTTAGGTTCAAAAAAATTCAAATTGTCATTTCAGATCGTTTTCGACGATGAGGAGTGTAACTATAGTATTAAAATTGAAGAAAGATTTCAAAAAAGTGGTAGAAATCCGACAAATTCATTCGATTACAGACACCGTATTTTGTGATAAAAAGCAAATATTGATTATAGCATTTCATAATGTACGTGAAATGGGAATTAATGAAATAAAATTTAACTTTAACTCGTCTTCTTTCTTCACATATATGAAAAGATAACTATATCAACCTTTGTATCTAAATTGTTTTCATTCAGAAATAATCAAAGGATAGTCTCACACAGATAAAATGAGCTCTATTTAGTTTGCGATCAGGCAGTGCATATTAAAACAAGAGTTTTTTTTTATTCAAGTTTAAGTTTATTTTCTTTTATTGTATGAAAATCAAGATATTCAATATTATACTATCAATTCTACGATGTATATTTCTAATTATCACCATCTTGTGCAAGAAGACTATCGATTAATTGTTCTACTGGTTTGCCTGATTCTTTAGCCCGTTGAACAACATAAAGAAGAAAACGACCACGTTGTTCAGCTCGAAGAACCTTATCGAATTCATCAAGAAATCGTTCACGACTTTCTCCAGCTTGACGAAGACCTTCACGTAATTTTACTAATAATTGTTCTGTTGTTGCATTATCATTAGCTTCAACAGCTTTGTTTACATCTTCAACTAATTTTTTTCCAGCTGCACGACGAGCACGAACTCTTTCAGCAGCATCATTAAATAATGCTTTGAGCTAAAATTTAAAAAAAAACTTTTCTGAACAAAATATTTTTTTCCATGAAGACTAACTTACTTTTTCTTCTTGCTCTCCTGTTAAAGACAATTTTGCTGCGGTATTCCAGGTAGCGACTAAAGTATCTATTTTATTACCAGCCATTTGTTTCTAAATAATAAAAGAAGGTCCCACAAGAAAGATCAAAGATCTTGCACATACTTGTTTAGAATTGTACGAAAATTACAGGACTCAAAATAGAGAGACATCGTACTAATCTGTTATAGTCGATTGTATTTCAAAAACTCTAAATGAGCTTCAAACTTGACATAGATTTCAATCATAATATGTGTGCTAACACTAATAATAAACTGTATATGGAACTGTAATCTAGAACAATTTGAAACGAATCGAGCTTTGAGTCTTTGTCGGATTCACGAAATACAGTGCATTCTGCCTTCGAGTTTGTTTTTTAATTTGATGAATAAAATTTTTTTTTTCTAATGAAAATTCAGTCAAGACTCAGTGTTTTTGGGGGACATCCAATTTCTAAATACCGTTAAAGTGTAAAACAAGAAATTTGAACCCATCGATCATGCCAACCTAGCCAAGAAACTGAAGTCTACTATAGGATTGTTATGCGAAACTATGGAATTGTATGACTACCAAAATTATTTGTACTCTCGTCTCAATTTCTTCTTTCTATAAGCTTGAAGTATCACTTATGACCACCTTCTGCAGCCTTACCACATCCGCTTTAACACATTATAACCCATGTTATCTTGCATCATGAACACACGAACTTTGTATATTTATGTTGCGTTAAATTTCCATTCAGAGAGGAACCACACTAACAAAATATGAACCAATCGTCCATTCATATATGAAATATTTAACTTTAGAGGAAAACTTTTCGTCTGACTGTTCCCTTAAAAAGAAAGTCTCCAAAATATTACTAAGATAATTGATAAGGACTAGAGAATTACAATTAAGAATTTAGAATGGTCAACAAAGACTAACAATGACATTTCTGAATGAATCCTATGATAAATATCAAGGTATGTATGATATTGATGATTATGTAACGAATGTGGTGGTAGTTTGCAGTTTATATAGGCTCACACGAACTCAGAACAGGTGATACTTTTATCTACGCGAGTATAAAGTTCGACACGAAGGTTTCGGTAAAACTATTTTATCACCCTTTTATCTTCTCTATTTATCTGCGAGATGACGTAAATCATATGAAAAACGTTTTACTAAAACCAAAGATGAAAGGTTTCGATAGAAACTAACGTAAGTGCATTTTATTATTCATTATCTGTTAAAAAAAATTAATTATTTAAGAAAAAAATATTTTTTTATTTTAAATTAGGACGATATTTTATAAAAAAAAAGGATAAAAAATAAGCATTTATTTATAACTCAATTTAAAATAAATTCATGTTCCTTAGACGTTAAATAATTTCGAAGTCGACTTGGATAATCAGTCATTATACCAGTAACACACATATGTTGTATAGCATATTCGAATTCTTGTTCATTGTTTAATATCCAAACGTAGACCTAGAAGTGAAAAGAAATTTCGTAATAGATTTTAATGAAACATAGAAACTCACAGAAATACCACGTCGTTGTAAATGTACAAACATAGATTTATTATTTAATGCACTAAAATGTATGAAAATAGAATTGAAATTATTTGAATACAACAGCTACCGTTCCGCGACATAAAACAGCATTTTAAATTTCCAATTCAAATTTCGTGCCGCTTTTCTAAATACAAGAAAAAAATATATATGATTAAGTAAATGTTTGATCATACTGGGAAACTTCACCAGGAATAGGTACTTCAAATGCACCTGTATAAAACCAAAATAAAAGAGAAGAATTATTAAAAAACAAATCTTAGTTGATTTACCTGGTTTTAATGGTATAAAAGGTAATAAGCCAAGCCAATAAGCAATAGTAATACCTACTGCTTCTTTTAATGAACAAAAACGAACAATATGTGAATTCTAAGAGACATAAGTGGCCAATATTTTAATACAGAAAGATTTAAACTGTACTTCAGTAGTCAATTTTTGGCATATAACATGATTAAAACTACCCCAATAAGTTAAATCTTCTCTTTGATATTCTTGAATAAGTTTTGAAATCTAAAAAGATCATGTGCTGCTATCATAATATTATATTTCGATGAGTTGTTTCTAATTGCTAAATAAAAGTTTTCAAGCATTTTCTATAATCAATAATCATGAAATGTCTTGAGAATTCTTTAACTGCTTCCTGCCGTGTTGAGTACTTACGCAACTGTCACACTATCTAATGAGGTATATAGATCACAATGGGAGCATCTTAAGATTCGATGAAGTTGGAGTGCAGGTTCGAACTTTTTTGAACATCGTTGACTTTCTTTTGGGATACTTGTATCCCTTGACTGTTGAGATCATTTAGTTATATTATGTGTAGTCCTACCATTCCGAGCGACTCAAATTTGGCGCATACATAAAGATGACTGACACAGAAATTCGTAAAATTTTACAAAACAACAGTTGATTCGGTAAGAAACATCGACATCTTATATATTGAATTATTCGTATGTTTTTTATGCTACTCTCTAAATTTTTTTGTTCTCTTTGGAAGGAACTTTGATGAAGTGCAAACTGTTATTTGTTTTTGAGAATTTTGAATAAATTTAAGAAATCATGAGAGCTGTTTTCATGACTTCACAAGCTAAACGTGGTAGCTAAGATATTCTTATGGCTGTTTTACAATTAGGTTTTTTTACCTAATATAGACTTTTGAGATCATTCTTAAACTAGGAAGTATTCATTTTAACGTGTTCTATTCAATGCATTGAACAATAAGTAGTAGGATAAACGAGATCTGCAAGAGAACATTCGTCTCTCAATCCATTCAGTTTATAAAATATTGAGTAGAAAAGACTCTATTCTTTGTTAGAGCAAATTTTTTTTGTGTACTTTCAATTTCCATAATGACATCTAAACAGAAAATGGTCACAGGAATTAATCACTAGTAATGAGCTTTTAGATCATTTTTCATATAACCATGGATTTAACAATGCAAATAAATTCCTAATTAAAATGCATACATTGGACATATTGAGAGCCAAATAAAAAGTTCTGTTTGAGTTATTTTCTAATTGTTGAAATGACAATACAGAAGAACAGTAATTCATGATCAAATATAATATATATGTGGTCTGATCAGTCAGTTTTTACAAAAACTTTATGTGTTCAAAACAAAATGGTATTTACCTGTCGAATAAGTTCATCATTATTTTCTTTAACATCAATATTAATTGGTATCGTCGGATAACGTTCAAACACATCTTTTAATAATGGTATACGTAATAATTCTTCGTTTGTTAAATTATGATCACATGATATAATTGTACCTATCAGCAAAATCATTATCTTTTCAAAAAAAATATTATTTATTTCCTTACTGTCATCATAATAGAGGTGTACATTAGTGTTGATTCTAGGCAAATCCTAGAAAAATAACACTTTTCGCTTATTTATGATTATTGATGTTAACTTACATTATAGTCAAGATCTCTGATAAATCTATCTTCTCCCGTAGTTCTATCTAGTGAAAAATCATGATGAACAACAACTTGCTTATCTTTGGTTAAATGGCAATCTAATTCAAGCATTTCTACTCCATTTGTTAATCCTCTATAGTAAAAAATTTGGCACCCTATCATTTCGTCCCATTACTTTTCGTCCCCTTACACTACGTCCCATTCATTTCGTCCCTCACTCATTTTGTCCCTTTTCATTTCGTCCCAGCGTCATATCGTCCCATACACTTCGTTCCAAACTCATTTTGTCTCGCTACACTTTGTTCCTCTACAATTGTCCCTACTTTTTTAATATGATCAGCTAACTTTAACGAAAGAGAAACAGAAAAGAAAAAAATTCACACTCAAATCTTGTTCACTACGTAAAGCTGTTCTTCTTTGCTATTTAATCCAAGGACTACCGGGACTTATTTTTTTGGGATTTATTTCTTCTATAGGATTTATCAGGATTTATTTATTTAATGGGGGTTTATGGGGATTTATTAACTGTATCAAGATTTTCGTGCACCCTCACTCGACTGCTGCCTTCTTCGTCCTCACCCATACTGGCGTCTGCGCCCTCACTCTCAAGATAGTGCGAGATTTATTTAAAAACGTACATGGATTTATTAAAAAATCCTAACAAAATCAATCCCGGTAACTGCTGATTCAATCAAGTGTTGCTATCTATACGACCGATGGGTGATATTGAAATTTTAAAGAGTAAAAGAGGAAATCCAATTGTGTATCATGGTGAGTTCGTGTACATGCAACACCGATTGACTGATGAAGAACGTATTTTTCGATGCGAAAGCTGTAACCCCCCACCCTCAAGATTTGGCCCGTATGGCTGCTAACGTGAAACTAGATTGTTGAACTGTTATTCATTCTTCATTTTATTTAATATATTAAACATAGAAGATGATAGTACATGTCATTGTATATTAAGTAGAATCGTCAGAAACGACTTCTTCGGTAGGACAAAGTGTAACGGGACAAAATGAGTTTGGAACGAAGTGTATGGGACGAAATGACACTGGGACAAAATGAATTTGGAACGAAATGAAAAGGTACAAAATGAGTGAGGAACGAAGTGAATGGGACGTAGTGTAAGGGGACGAAATGAGTGTCCACCAAAAATTTGATAGTAAAAATGTTCTCGTTAAACATACGTGTCAAATGCAACTAAAGTATTTTCAATAGATTCTGCAGCACCTTCGAAAACAAAAACAAAACCTCAAATATGCAAAATTTTCATGATTTTACCTCCTCGATGAGCTATATTTCGAGCAATAAAGGCAGGTCGACGTCGTTTATGAATAAAATGAGGTTTACGAAGGAAGACAAAGGATGATATAATATAAACAGAAAAAACCGTTAAAACAATGATATATACAAGCATTAGCAAGAAATGAATAATTGTATAGTATAGTGATCGATCATGTCATCATCATATTGTTTATACCAGATGAGTCATTAATTAATACAATTGGCTTATCTTTGCCAGCGACATCTATAAATGATTTTTTTTCATTAAATTTTAAAAATTAATTATTTTCCTCAAAATAAAGCTTTCTACATGTTTATTAGTTATTTAAAATTGAAATCCAATAATAAGCTCGTTCATTATTGTCATGGTGTCAACTGAGTTGCAACTAGACGAAAACACTTAATTATACAAGTTAGAAGGAAAAAAAATTGCAGAATGTCGACTGATGTAATGAATATTCCCACTGGTACTGCAAGTAGTGATGATCTTAGTGATCAACGTGGTAATAATGATAATGAATTACGTGATTTAGTATATCAAGCTCTTGAACGTGATGGTTTAATATTTCGTTTAAAAGCTCAATTACGTGCTGCTGTATTTAAAACAATTGAAAAAGCAACAAATCCTACTGCTACTAATTCACATTCATCTTTAGATGATGGAATGACTGGACGTATTTGTCGTGCACTTATACTTGATTGGCTTGAACATTCACGTTTATTATATACAGAAGATGTGTTTAAAGTTGAAACATCTGGTCCTAATCATCCAATACCATTAACACATAATGAATTACTTGAACAACTTCATCTTAACTCAAATCAAATTAAAACACAACCTATTTTACATGTTTTACTTGATCATAATACAAATCAAGTGAGAGGAGAAAGAATATTTTTTTTGAATTTTTGTTTGAAACAAATGTTTTTAGCCTGCTAGTGTTATAAATTCTCTTCCTGATTATATTAAACAATCAATTGATAATCAATTTCCAAATGAAAAAATCAATGATTTGAATCGTATACGTGATCATTTTCGTGCATTATTTTCATCAGCATTCGATTCTAGTATACTAGATACATTTATTAATAAAAATATTTCATCATCAACATCTCTTTCGAAACATGATTATGAACAAATTTGTCTTAAATGGATGCAAGGATGTGCAAATGCATTAAAACCACCATCAACTCCTATGTATCATATTTCATCTATGTAAGTTAATTTTTCATACAGAATACATTTGAAGAATTTTAATTCAACTTTTAGAACTTCTTATTATCTAGTAGTATTTTTTTTTCTTTAAGAGAAAAGAACAGATGACATATATTGACTTTTGCTTCAAAATTTTCGTCTCTGTGAAGGATATTCTGCAAATGATTAAATTGCATAAAATTGACAACATATAATCAATAGTTCATATAGAATATAATCAAAGATAACATATATGTGTGTTATCAAGCATTACACTTAATATTATTTCTTCTCCATAATTCAGACAATTTTTTATCATAATAAAGCAGATAGTTCTGATAAATAATCATCATCACGATCGACAAGTATATCGATTGAAATTCTCTTTGATTAGTGCCTAAGATTTTGCAGATAAATTTATTCCGAAATATTTTTTTATAGTTTTTGCATTATAGCAAATAATTAGTTTTGTATGTTCTTTCAATATTTGTCACAATTTCGATAATTAGTTAACACAAGATATGCAATAGGTTCCTATCGAATGACAATTTACTTCATTTATGAGTCTTCGTACTTGATTACCGGTTAATGTTTACATAAGGAATAGAAAAAAAAATGTATGATTTCAAATATAGCTTCAAGTTGCACTCTTTGTATTGATTATAATCAAGATAGTGAAATTGACCATCATCATATATTTTTTTCATAGAGTCTCAACAAATCCATTAACTTCGAGGAATACGACTAACAATGATCAAGTATCAACTCCAGCTCGTCGTGCAGCATCACCATCAACAGACTCTTCATCCTCTTCCTCTACGTCATCATCAGAAAATCCACGAAAAACTGCATTTGACTTTCCATTACCAACGACAATGAATTCACAGAAAAGTATCATTAAAAAAACTAGTGATATTGTTCCACCATCATTAATTAATTTTGATGAGAGTAATAGTAGTGATGAACAAGAAGAAGATGGATCAGCTTCAATATTCTCTAATCGAAATGCGACACCAACTGCATTGGAGCATTTAAAAACTATTGATAATATTCTTCTAGGTAATGAAACACCACGTACAAGAACAATACCTAAAAAACCGTCAAACAATGGAACTAAAGATGCTCCAGCTGAATATGAAGATGAAAGTATGAGCCATAGTGTCAGTCATAGTATAATTAGTAGTGTGGATGATATTACAGTTGATAAAGCATCACCTTCTCCATCGGCTAATATTGATTATTTGGAAGATTACGAAGGAAATTAAAAACTCTGATTGTATTTTGTGAAATTTTTTCTCTCATGTAGAATCTATTGAATCTATAATAACCAATTTTCTTCTTTAGAAAAAGTACTTTTTTTTTGTATATGACAAAATTATGAAGGATGTTTTTTTTTTATCTTCTGTCTTTGATCTGATAACAGATTTGTTAAGAAAAAAGAAATCTCCACATTAGTTATAACCGGTAGATTAACATCTATCATTGAAGAAACGTGAAATTATGAAGCATTAACATCAGAATAGAGGACAATAATATCTTCTAAAAAAGAATATCGAATTCAAGCTATATGAAAGTATAAAAGTTCAATGTATAAGATTTGTGACTGAGTCAAATCTATTATAATTTATTGCAACTGCCTTATTGAAAATGTTACCACACACCGTCTTCATGTTATGGCTAAACGACATACATCAAAATCAAAATTTTGTTTCTATCGTTAAAATAATGTGCTTTGTAATATAATATTGATATATGTATAATTTATTAAACGATTTAATTCATATTTTATATTTTCTTTAGTGATTATAGAAAAAAAAAATAATACGCTCAATAATAAATATTTGATATGCTATCAATAAGAACGATTTAGACATTTGCAAATATACTTAGAATGAACTGAACGAAATCATAATGAAATTTATCAAAATGTATCGATAAAATTTTAACTTATGAGATTCGAAAGAACATCAGAAAATTTCGTCATACTTGAAATATATTCAATGAAAGCGTATTCATGTAATTGTTAACATTCCAGTCAAATCTCTAAATTTTTATTATGAAGAGCTTCATTTGAGAGACTTAATCTGATCTTTCCTACAAACTTACATTTCGTAAAAGTTTTCTAGTATATGCTAACGAAAGAAAATGAAAAAAGAAAAAGATAAATTCAAAAAAAGTTAAAAGAACATTACAATGAAAAAGGACAGGTACATACATCAAGGTGATTAACGGAGAAATAAGTGTTTTGTGATTAGAGTAATTGATTGAATGAATTTTGATTAATAAATTGCAATAGTTTGTCAAAGAAGGTAAGAAAATCTTGACAAAGACTGATATATTGTGGTAATACTAAGAACCAACGAAAGAATTCACATCAACTGAGAAGAAAACAGTTTCAGACTATAATTTGTCAATAAAAGTTTTTGCAGTGCAACCTATAAGAAAAATTTATCTCATAACTGGGGCTAATTTCGACTCAATGGTTAATACAGATGGTTCAGATGCATGATCATTATCAGGTTGCTGCTATCAGTTTTAAGACTCGAAAAATATTCGCCTGCTGGTATCGCGCACATTATACTGGTCAGTTTACCAGCACTAGTTTCTCGATAATTATCATAGGAAAGCTTTTTCCATATTGTGTGAAGGTATTTTGTTGGCAATAGTTTTAACTATCATAAAATAAGCAACTAATTTTTGTTCCTGTTGTTTACTATTTTTTAAGCTGTTTTACTAGATTCTTCACACACTTCTCTCTATAAGTAATTGTGCAACGACCAATACAAAGTCCACTCAAATCTAAGATGTTGGTTGAACGCATCACTACTCAATATAATACAAAACTTTGCTTCATTTCATAGAGTACTATGATTTAGCTTCTGTCTCGATCGATATGAATTTGATAAACGTTGCTCTGCAAATTCATTCAAATATATTTATTCATCAATTTTTATTACATCAAAAATTTTTAATTTTCGTTTATTACTTTCTGTTTCGTTTGTTTGATAACACACTCAAATATTCATTTCTTTATTTTAAAGTATTAGACACAAAACCAACAAAAATATTCAAATTTTTAGCTAATTCACTTTGTAATGAACCATTACTATCGTTGTAATCGTTAATTAAATGAATTTTTCCATTTAAAATAAAATGAAATTGTGATGTCGTTGCTTTTTTTATATGTAAAGTTACAACAAACAACGAACAGTAGGTTTTACTTATCAGCCAGAAGTTAGAAAGAAGAAAAGGAGAAAAAAACGCGCATATGTATTTATTTAAAAGAGGTTAAAATAGCAATCGAAACTGTGAAAATAATGTTCAAGATCAGAGCATTGAGATATACACTAACAGAGGTTTCATTGTATATTGTTTTTTATGAGAATATCTAAATGCGCCACTTTTTATTGCTTACAATCATTAAAACATAAAATTTGTTAGACAAACAAAAACAACATCAAATCTTTGCTTATTTTTCACTAAAATTCAAAGAAACTTCAAAACTAAAATGATTTTCAACCCAAGGACATCAATTTCTAAATACATGCAAATAAATATAAAGATAATCACACAACAGATAGAAACATTCAACGTCGTTTATTTCCAGTACCATCCGGTAAACGATCCATCATTGCGCATAAATCATCATCATCATCATCATTTTTTCCTCGACGTGTTGGACGTTCATCAAAATCAAAATCTTGTAGAACATGAGATAAACGAGGATTTTGATTTCGCTAAAATAAATATGCATTCATTAAAACATACACGCACATTCAGTTTATCAATTTAATTTAAAAATATACGTCTGAAGCAGAAAACATCATAGAATACTTTGTCACTCTGTCCTGCCTTGGATGGTAGGGCATCCTTAGATTATATAAACCGATGTCGATTATGCAATAGGTTGGTAACTTAACAAAAAACTTTGATCATAGTTACATTGAGCGCTCATACGTTTTTTATATCGTTTCAAAGGTATAAAAATTAGATTATAACTCAGTTAAAATAGTGTCATTTTAATTTATTCTTGATGAAGACATTTAGCAGCCGGTCGAGACAGAGTTTTTTATTGTTTACTAGACGTGCTTATAACCGTTTTTTTGTTTCTATAGAAAAACAATTGTATCAATCTTCAATCAAATCTTTGTATCTCAGTCAATAAGCGTTGCAAAGAAATTGAAGATGTGTCATTCTGTAGAGAATTAATTGCTCTATTATTCTATGCAGTCTAACCTAAATTTTATTGACGTGTTCTAAGTGATAAAAAATCGGGGTCTTCATATCATTCGAATAATGTCTTTGAGAATCCGCCGATAATCTTTGTTTCTTTTTATTCTTGTTGAAAACAGTTCTCTTTACTCAAATTATTGTTTGAATTCTTTCTAACGCTTACGACAGCATAAAAAAAACTTGAAAATAAACCTGGTTGAATATTTTTAGTAATCACTGTACGTCATCAATATCTTCTCATAATTCGAATGTAGAACTTACTTTTGATACATCAATAGTAATATCTTCATTTTTCGGTCGTTGACTGCTTGTTGATGACGCTTGAGGACGTTTTTGAATTCTAATAAAAAAAATTATATAGTAAGGAACATTTAACCAAAAAGAAAAACTGACGGTGGACCAGTATCCTCGTCATCATCATCATCGAATAGTGATAATTTTACAAGACCAGATCGTGATGAATCTCCGCCACTACTATTGCCAATCAGATCAGAAAGTAAATTAAGTTGTGCAATCATTTTTGGATCAGGATTAATCATTTCCTATTCATTTAAAATGAATTCAAAATTATCTCTTTTACTTATTTATTTACAATATCTGATGCAGCATTGACCATAACAGATGGTCGACGAACAGCACTATCACTTAATAAACTTTCATTTGAACTTTTACTTTTCGAATAACTTAAAAATAAAAAGAAACTTTATTTCTTTCTGGTATATATATATCTTCTTTCTTACATATTAAGACCTAAATGAAAAGTACGTTTATCATCAGGTGGTTGATGACGTTCACCGGCATTAAATGTATGTGTATTATTCAAACGACCTCTTTTATATGTTCTAAATTTATTCAATAAAAAATATTTAATACTTATTAAAAATTTTATTATTAACAAACCGAATTTCACCGGGTGTTTGAAAACCAGTTGGAACAATACCATTTGTTTTCATTATAAATAGACCTTGTTGAGTTTGTAAATTTTCTCGAAGAAAAATAGAAACCTATCAAATAAAACAAATAAAATAAATTGTTACTATCATAATATAAACTCTTACTCGAATATGAACATCTTGAAAGAAAAAAAGTATTGTATCACGAATAAGTAACCATTCAACATCGTTTAATCGTTCATATTGCTATGAAGAAATATGAATTCATTATTTTATTAATTTAGTCAATAAACTAACTTTATTAAAAGCTATAAATGCTTTATCCAAAAGATCAAGTACTGTTGAGCTGCGAACTAATTTTCTCATTGAATTTACATGATTATAAGTAACTTTAATAATATCAGAAGCACATGGACAAAGCATAATTTGAAATTTAACAGACATTGTCATAAGATCGTATAACTAGAATAAGAATTCAAATTAAAGATAAAAGAGGTAATTATTTTTGTAAGCAAAAAAAAAAGCTTTTAGCAAAATCTCTCGTGAATTCAAATATAAAAAAACGATGAATATAAATGAGAGAACACATTGACATGATCCCATTTAGTTAGTGCTAAAAGTATATAGAACGATGAGAGAACAGCAATTCACACAAACTTCAAACACGCATTCGTGTACATCGTTATATCTCATGAGAAATTTTCTTTGACATAACTAACACCGTTTGTAACATGCTATTGATCTTTTGTTATGAGTTAACTATTCTCTATGGCAAAAAATCGAATAGTTCCATTTCATTTCTATTTAGGTTATTTTCAAACATCATCTATCAACATGCAAGCATTTATAATGTCTTACAAAATTACTCGACCATGTTTATTCTCCACTGCTGTCAACACTAATAAAAGTTCAAAGAGTGATTTGTATAGAGAAGTTTTTATTCAACATAAAATTAGAATAGACAAATAGCAATCGGATTGAATAACTTAAAATTATAGAGCAAATAATTCTCTATAAAATGAAATGTCTTGTAGCTTTCTACGACGTTCTTTTTTCTTTCTACCCAGATACGTCAATCTTACAAAAGGCACAAAAATTACTGTTGTTTTTTTCGTCTTTCGTATTGAAACAAAACTTTTATGGCTTCCATAATATTAATGTATCTTGGTAAAAAAAAAGTCGCAGAGAGATACAAGACATGAAAAATTCCGATCTCGGTTTTTCACAGAACTATGAAACTCGCTACACAAATCACTATTTGGGTTCTTCTTAGCACTAACAACAGTGGAGAATAAACCTTGTCGAATAAGTTTGAAAGAAACTGTATACAGTAAAACCCATCGAGTCTGGATTTAGGACCAACCCGACGTGCTCTATCTTATATGGACATTTTTATTCTAGCAGAAGTTTTCATGATACTATAAAAAATTTGTCATCATTTTTTTAATCCTAATGCAAATTTTGGTATCATCATGCTATGCTTAGATTTCAATCAAAGTCTGTATGATATATAAGGATCTAAAATTTATTACGGAGCTTTTAAGTGACAATATTGTTATGTTACTTCTCTCTGTTCAATTCATCTATATAAGCGTTTGTTCCGTGTGAAAAAGGCAATTAATGATAAAAAGAAACCTTATTAAGCGTTATTCCGTCCGTTTTCAAACTCCTTCTGTTAAAAACAGTCACAGTTTAGAAATAATTCCTTTTTGGAAACCATTCATATTTCATTTAATATTAATCTCCTTGAATAAAATCACTCACCTTATCCATACTAGCTTCATTTAATCTCATAATGCTTGAATGAGCTAATTTTTCAAAGATATGTTTAACAGATTTTTTCGGATAAAGTTCTTGTGGTCGAAAAAGTTCATCAACAAATTTACTATTAAACATCGCACCGACAATATCGTTTATCACTGAAAATTAAATTAAATTATTCTCTTCATTGATTTATTTATTTTTTGATACCTTTAGCTGCTTTTTGATCAACAATTTCTTGAGCTGATAAACGTTGATCTAATATATATACCATTTCACCACCCATATTAAAGAAAATAATCGGAAAACTTTTTAATGACATGTTTCAAACCACTTCACAGATTTTAAACAAATAATAATTATTTTTTTCTTCTTTTTTTTCCAACCATTATCTGATTTAACGTTGTGGTATAGCCCCTGTTATTGAATATATATTTTAAAAAAAGATGGCGCCTTTAACCACCGATTCTTTATATAAATATTTGCGTGAGAATTTAAAAATGCAATGAAAACATCTGGTATTCTCTTGAGAGTACTTATGAATGCACATATATTTATATATATATATATCACATTTTGATTAAATACTAATAAAATCCTATGGTCACAACTTGCATCTAAAAATTATATCAGGTATATTGAATCAGTAAGCAAAACTTAATAAAAAGAACAGAACATTTTGCTATAGATTCATTGTAAAGTGGTAGCTGTACTATTACAGAACGAAAGAAAAAGTATATTTTCAACAACATTATGAAGAAAGAACAAAGAAAAAAAAACGCATAAGTCGATAAAGAGGTTACACTAGTACACATGTATCACATTAATACCTATGTAAGATAGAGGTAAACATAGATAAAAAGGATTATTATTGAGTGAAATTTTTTTTTTCTAGAGTTATAATCATTATCAGTTTAATAGTTTCTTTCATTCATATGTTAATGTATTGTAACGATATATAAAATGCAGTTTATTACTCGTTATCTATCATCAGTGGCTCGATCACGAAGACGTTTTTCGTTTTTATTTATTATTAGTTTATTTCTTTTGACCGTGCTTATTTTATCAAATAATCATGATCATCATCAATCGATTGATTTTTCCCAACATCAAAATCAGGAATCATTAATATCAGCAAAACATAAAAGCCATACAATGAAAGCATCAATTACAGAAACTACTAAAATTATTGAAAAGTAAGACACATTGAAATCTTGTCATGTATTTGTTAAGTATTATGATCATTTAATGAGATATTGACATTGTCTATGTCTGTTTTGTTTTGTTTTAGAAAAGGATTATGGCCAGTCGATGAAAAAGGTCGTTCATTAAAAATAAATTTTCTTACTCTTGATGCAACAGGATTTTTTGGTGCTGATGCTATTGAAGGTACACATACTCGATGCTTATCATCAAATACAACATTTACTTGGACACGTCAAAAAGATCGATTTAATGAAATTGACTTTTTTATATGTCATAGTGCTCCTTGTGGTTTAGATCTTAAAAATCTACCTTTACAATTAAATAATGAACAACAACAGTATTCAATGGGTTTTATTATGGAGAGTGAAGTACATTCAACAACAGGAAATAGCTGGGCAAAATATAATTTTATAATGACATATAATCTTGATGATAGTTATCCAGAACCAGCTACTTATTTTGATGTAAATCTGCATATAATTGATTTACTTAAACCATCATCAATATCGTTTGAAGAAAAAGAAAAACAAGCAGATATTGTTTGGATTATTTCAAATTGTAATGTAAGTGTCTTACATAGGAAAATAAAAATTTCGTCTATTTAGCGATAAACAAGATCATCGATTACGCTAAAGAAAAGATAATATTGATTTTAGTGATGGATCTAGTTTACTTAGTTGCCTACTAATTTGATGAAACTTGTATGTAATGTCATATGTATTGACAAGATCAACTTTACTGCTTGTCTGCTGACATTCTGTTATTGTAAAGTATGTCAAAAGAGGAAAGATCGAGTTACACACCAGGCATCTACGTGGGATGAGACAATACCATCTTATCTCATGCCAGGTTTTAAAAAATATTCCATGAAACAAATGTCTTTTACAACAATTGTTTCGAAATCGATATCTCTATCGTCGAAATATGAACTTGGTTAGGATAAAATTATGAAATATGAAAGGAAATGATTTAAAATTCACTAGTAGGAATGGAAATAACTGATGTGCTCAGGAATTTGTTTTTATATATGACGAGCGTGAAATCCCATGAGATAGATGGGATGGGACAGAAAATTCTTCGTTCTGTTCCATTCAACATAGGACAGAAAATTTTCCGTTCTCTTCCATTCCAAATGAGACAGAAAAATTTTGTCCCATTCCATCCAATATGGGGCAGAAGGTTTTCCGTGACATCCCGTACAACACGGAACTGCAAATTTTTGAAAAATAGTCCCATCCTATCCTACATGGAGCTCTGTTACACATTCTCTGTATAAAACTAATGGAAGAATTGTTATATGCCGTTGTTTATATAATACGATTAATGCGCTTGTCATAGAAATTAGATATAGGAGCAGAGAAACACTTTAATTTCAGCGTAACCACATGTGATAGAATTTCATTTTTTTTACATCGGTACATACAGTTGTTATCCACGGCAAAAGTAAATTTTTCGAAATATTTATTATAGATAGAAACCATCCAGAATTAGAAAAAAATTAATTTTTTCAAGTGAAACTGAGAGGTTACCATTTTAATACGAAATAAAGTGACCTAAAAATAAACTTTTTATATATAAAAAGCTATTCTGGTTTTAATAAACTTTCAGAATAACAGGTCATTTCTAAACAAGCATAACTGCATCGAATAACAAGCTAAAAATCATGTTCTTTATGGAATATCATTCAGAATAGTGATGACTTTTGAACGCAATATCTTGGCTCGTAGACATTTCTACGAAATTCTTGTGTGAACAGAGCACGTGATATTCTACAATAGGCTGAAAGTTCGGTAAAATGAACATAAATTGAGAAGAAAAGTCTAATAGCATGAATCTTTTCGAGATTTTTATCTAAACTTTGAGTCCTACATATGAGCAAAAAATGAATTCAAACGAAGACTATCAGTCAGATGAATTTCTTTGTGAGAAAAATTGTTCTACTCGTACTCTATCCTAAATTAACAAACGTCAATACTTGTCACAAATCATCCATCTTCTTTACAAATATAATATTATTTAAAACTACTAGAAACTAGATATTATTCGAAACAAAAACCATCAATGAATAGTACGGTGTTTGTTTGCAACATTTTACAACTTTTTTGATCATTTTTTTAATTTAACCGATTCAATATTATTCATTTCATCTTTATTAAAAAGAAAAAGAATTCGTGAGTGTTGATTAGATCTGTAGTTATCTGGTAGGTTTTCGCTCACTCAAATTTGATTTCATATTTTATAAACATGAAATGACTGTCTTTAAGTCTTTTTCTACATTCATTGTATCCTATCATAACTTTCATCTTCTTTTCACAATAAACAGTCACTAGTAAACCAAAAGACATATTTCTAAATTTAAGTGCATTTTTGCCTAAGAATTTCGTCAACTCAACAGTTCTTTTTTCTTTCTAAATTTTAATCTAAATATTAATATTTTAGGCACATAATGGTCGAGAAGGTTTTGTCAAACGATTAATGCAAGAAATGAAAGTCGATTCTTATGGACCATGTTTAAACAATCGTAAAGGTTATGGAGCTCGTATGGTTGATAATATAAATGCATATAAAAAATATAAATTTGTTATTGCTATTGAAAATTCTAATTGTGTTGATTATGTAACTGAAAAATTAGTTAAAGCTGTTGAATCTGGTTCTATTCCTATTGTTGCTGGTCGTAATGGTCGACCAGATTATCAACGTTTTATGCCTGAACATTCATATATTAATGTATATGATTATAAATCAATAAAAGACCTTGCAAATGAACTTAAACGTATTGCAAATAATAAAACACTATATGAGTCTTATTTATGGTACAAAAAACATAATAAAATTATTTCAAAATTAAGGAAACTTACACTTGATGAAAAAATAAAACATTTTTCTGATGTTATTGGTTCAAATGCAACTATAATTACAAATGGTATTATAGCAAAAGAAAAAAGTGAAGATAAAGTTTGTAAACTTATACGTTTTGTTCGTCAAACACCATGGCAAGAAATTGCTGCTCATAGTGGAACAGCAAGAATTGGTTCTGATATTGCTTGCTTACCGCGAGGAAGTCTATTAAGTTATTTTGATTCATCGTCTTCCAATAGCAATCAGACAATAAAGCCTTGAGTTGCTCTTTTATGACTTGAGCAACTTCTTATTGTTTTCGTTTTTTTTTGTGATAATGTTATTTTGTTTAGAGAATATTTCAGTTTGCATGCTCAAATAATTAAAGTGATAGAGCGAACGTTTTTTTTCAAGGATATTGCAAATACAATGAAGCAAATGAAAAACAAATGAACTTTCCAAAAATTGAACGAATCCCAACAGAACTAGCATAATCCTTTCAATTTTCAGAATATTACAAGAATCGTAGTTTATGTCAAAATCTATTGACGTAATAAGAACTATAACAATGGAGGAGATTAACATGGTCGGAGATCTCCGGCGAGAAGATTCTGCCTTTATTTTTGACGCCAATTTAATTGCTGAAAGCAAGATAGAATCGTAATATCAATCCAAGAATGGTAAATGTCAAAACTTAATGGTGCTAAGCAATGAATTTCAGTGTGCGAAAATTATTTTTTAGCTATAACATTGAATGTCCACCATGTTTTTGTTTTCTAATACGATCAATTATTAGATGTTGATGATGGCTGTATGTAAATTCTTTGCATTCTATTGTATAACTTCTAGAAAACGAGGAATGTATAATTAAGAAAGGCATGTTGTTCAATATTGATTTGTTAGAGGAAATTAAAATGACGCTAATCCAACTGATTCGACGTTTTTATAAAAAACATAGGTTTTTGTCTTTTTGATGCATCAATTTTAAGAGCTTCAGTTAATAACAAAAAGCTTCTTAGTACAGGCATTTTTCTTAGACTAAAGTTGTTCTGTACGGTAATCGATCACCAGAGAAGCGATTTATCTTGGTTGTTTCTGCATTTCAAACAGAATTTTTTCGCGTACGTCCTAGTTTTTGTTGATATTGTTGCTATTATAAATAGTGTATTAAATTGTTAATGAAACTGTTGTAAATATTCACTAGATCTACAACACTAGGTCTCAAAGCGCTATTATATAACTCGATAAGTTCATAAAAACTAATATTGCCTATTTCATAAAGTCAGTTTACACTTTTTGTTTTATGTTGATCATATGACAACTGTGGTATATCAATGCATTACTACTCATCAGCTTTGACATCTTAGATATAATTCTTTTCTATGCAAAAACCTAAAACTACACTATTCAGAAGATTCGTAAGCGTGTTTCAGTCATTCAAATTCCGGGAAAGGCTTTAGAATGTTTCCTAAAATGAGAACACTTATAATAAATATTTTTGTTCTGATAAAATTCTTCAATTAAAAATTAGGAGCTTTAATACAAACATACCGATATATTCTTGTCAAATTCAAATTTGTACACTTTATTTGTTGAAAAAAAAATCAATGTTTATTTATATTGTATAAAATTTAAATTTAAAGATTAGGTAAAATTCTAACAGAATCACCAGGATTACATAATACCAATAAAAATTGCCAAGGAAATGAAGCTAGATTATCATTGACCGAAAGAGTACATGTTGTTTTCAAACGTTCATGAAACAGTCTTATCTGTTTTTTTGTACAGTCGATTATAAGATATAACACATCATTGGTTTTTATGTTACCGCTCTTATATCCATACTTTGAAACATTACTACTACAACGTCCATTTTCATACACTTGATTACTTCCGAACCATCCTACAGAATCAGCAGCTCTAAAATCATTTTCCTTTAAAGCTGTTTTAGATGCCATACAACCAAAGAAAATTCGATAAGGTTGTTTGCAATTTTCAATTCTAAATCGAATCGTATAACATCCTGCAGAATAGAGAAATCGGCCACGAATGTATGCGAAACTTGGTCTAGCATCAACACATTTAGCAAGATAACCATTTTCTTCAACAATAACAGAACCCAATGTTTGTACGAATCGTTCTTGTAAATCTAAATTAGAAGAGTTTGAGGATGTTGAAGGTTCTTTTTTGTTTGCACCTTGATCATTAGAGGAATCATCTGTTTTAAGTGTCATTATATAAATTGGAGCGTTTTTATTTTGGATTAATTTAGCTGATGATGGTGACGTAATTTCTAATTGAAGTTCTTTCAGCTGTTTCTTCCATTGTATCAGATCAGTTTCAGAAAAATCATCAGCTTCATGAGAAGCACGAAGATTTTCTCTGATATCACTACATGTTTTTAAAAGTTTTTCCTTCGATTGTTCAAGTAATTCTTGTAAAGTTTTTCGTGCAGTCTCAGCAGCGACTTGAATCTTTGCGATTGAATCTTTTTCCCATTTATCAATTTTCTTTAACAAAGGATTTTTCTTTAATGATGGTTGTGTTAATTCTTGTTGAAGTATATCATGTTCTTGCATAATACCATCTAATTGTCCAGCTAAATATTGTCGATGTTCAGAAACATGTTTACCACAAAATGCTTGTTGACATCCGTCACAAACTAATATGCCACCACTCTTGTTACATAAAACACATTGCTTCTTGTTAAGCACGCTCGCACTCATTGTTGTTATCGCAATACTGTAGAGACACGGACACTTAATAATTGCACAAATGATTTTATTTTGTTTTTAAATATAGTGACTAAAAAAAACGACGTAAAAACATCTTTTTCCTTATCATGCCCATTCTTACTTTGAGATAGAATAAAAAGAAACAAAATGAAAACATCGCTAAAGTAAAAAACATTTGTCGTTTTAACTGAATAAATATAAGGGTTATAGATAGTGGTATTTGTATTTTTCGTTTCACTACTCTTGTTTTTCCCTTTCTTTCCTATACTTATATGTTATATGTTGTTCTTGTCCTTAGATTATTTCTTTCGTTCTCTTCGTTGAACTTTCCCTTTTCTTTCTTTCACATATACAAGATTTCCTTTTTTTTCATGATTCATCATCTATGGGATTTTCCAACTCATGGATCTTTTCCTTCGTTGTTCCTATATATATAGTGGTCATTGGAAGGTAGAGAATAAATAGATAAGAGCAAAAATTAAACCTAACAACAAGTATAAGTATAAATAAAAAGTCTTGTTTCACACATATAAAAGAAAGAATCATAAACCGCGGAAATGACTATTATGAATTTGTTTTAACAACCATGATGGTATAAATTTCACAATGAATGTTTTAGACGATCTCTCTCACGAGTGACTTCATACTTGGAAAAGAAAGTTGATTGAATTCAAAAGGCAAAAAGTCATCCGCTTTTTGATGTGTTGTAAATCATCCATTTACGTCTAATGATACACGTGTTTTTCTTTCTTTTTTTCTATTTAATGACGAAAAACACGACAGCAAAGCAATTATTTGTTGACTTTATTGTCTAAAAATGAGAGATATTTAAAACGAAAACAACATGAAAGTTGATCTGGCAAATGTTTAAAACAAGGGATTGTAAATATAGCAGCTTAACTGATGATAGATAATGAATCACAGAAAAAGTTAAGCAATCAGTTAATCTTACTCATTAGAAATAGGTTTAATCATGTTAATTAAGTTCGCTTTATAATGACTGTGGTAATGGCTATTTTTCAATTTTCTTTCTGACTTCAATTAATGTTGGATTGATTGAAGTCTAATTTTTCTGATTACAGTGCTAGCAAAAAATATCTAATTCCGATGAAATTCAAATATCATTTGAAGAGAAGTATTGTGTACTCAATCGTACAAATGATAATTTGTTTTATACAAGATATCAAAGCTTCGTAGCGCATTTTTCGAAATCGAACAAATGAGTATAATATCAAAAGTTATTTCAATCATCTATTTCACAACATGGATCTTAAAAATAAAACATATTGTCGCCAAAATAAGAATTTTTTATAAATTAAAGATTAACTTGTTCTCAATCACTTTTTTAATAGCATAAATAGGAAATTTCGAATGGTAGGACAATGCCCTACGATGTTGGAGTAGCCCAGTCTTAGTTGCCTTACTATATTTTCTCTGAACTTTTTCACATCTATAACTCAATGTCACTCTTAAATGTAGTCAAACTTTGAAGATATACGACGAATGCTTCCAGTTGGATGTTTTGTTATTGAAAAAATTTTACTGATAATTTGTTTTTTATACAGGAAATAGAGGGTTAGTAAGGTTTTAGTTGTAAAGACTAAGTTCATCAACAATATAGAAAACAGAACATATTCACTTATATTTCAAAAACGAAGCTTTTTTTCCGATATAAACGTTCTGATATCTTAATACTTATTCGGGACTTCAGATCTTGAAGATGTTTGATTATTACTTTTTAATTTCTTCTATGACATATTTCAAAACGATCTAATCAATAGTGTATTTTTTCACAGCAAGCCGTTTCTGATTCTTCGAAAATTTTAATAATCATGGAAACGAATGTGTTTGGTCATATGTTACTTCACTTTGATATTACAATTATTTCTTTTGGTTTCTTTTCGTGAAAATAAATGAAAAATAAAATATTTGCAAAGTTATAATAAAAGATTTAAATAATCTAAAGTCTACAATAACGATAGAAGTTCGAATAGATATGAAAAAGAAAACACGTTTTATTTTGTTTATCGTCTCAAAAAGTCAGTCGAATTTTTTGAACTATAAATTTTAAATAAGTTTATCTGTCAATAAAGACCAAATACTTCATCGTACTTAAAGATTTGAGTATTCGTTAAGTACGATGAAATATTTGGCCTTTATTGGCAAATAGATTTATATACAATGAATTTAAACGAATATGCTCGTGATGCATGTTGATAGTAGATTTTGAAATAGTTGTAAAGTGCTATAAGATAGCTTTCAAATATCTTCGTCATAGGGTGAAATATGGAATTTTCGCTTTCTCCAACATGAGCTATATGCATGTATTAAATGATCATGACTTGCGGATCACCCCATAAATATCTTCTTCATGTTATCTAGAAATCAGTTAGCATTCCAACAATGTATTTCATAAAAATATTTACAAACTTCAAATGTAATGTTTATTATATGATAAATTTAACAAAACTTTTTCTTTCTTTTTTTTTGCATAAAATAAAATTTATGCATCACTTAGAATTTTCACACAATCATCTTTATGAAACATAACCATTAAAAATTGCCAAGGATATGGTGTCTTGTTAATATTCACTGTTAATATAGTTGTTTTTTTAATACGTTCATTGAATAATTTAATTTGTTGTTTATCACAATCAAATATAAGTTGTAAAACATCATTTGCCCGTATTAACGAACTCTTATAACCATACTTTTTACAATTGTTAGTACAACGTCCGTGTTCATAAACTTGATCAAAACCAAACCATCCTACGCTACAAGGATATTTAAAGGCACCTTCTCCTAAAACTACTTTAGATGACATACAACCAAAAAAAATTTGATAAGGTTGTTTGCACTTTTCAAGTTGAAATCGTACTGTATGGTGACCATGAGAATAAAGTAAATTACCACGAGTATATGCATATTGATAAATAAAACCAGTATGTTTGGCAAGAAAACCTCCATTTTCGAGTGTAATTGGTCCAAGTACATCTGAATATTTTTCTTGAATCTTTAAATTTATTTCACTTGTTAATAAAGACATTTGGTTACTGTTGGTAGATTTATTAGTGTTAACATTACTATTTTCAACTTTAACTAAATGAATAACAGATTTTTTGTCTTGAATAATTTTAATTGAAGATGATGATGTAATTTCTTGTTTAAGTTCTTTTAACTGTTCTATCCAATGAATAAAATCATTTTCTGAATAATCATCAGCTTCACGAGATGAACAAAGATTAACAGCTAAATCACGACATGTTTTGGAAAGATTTTCTTTTGATTGATCGAGAAATTTTTGAATATTTTCTCGTGCAATTTTAGCAGCAAGATGAATTTTTGCTAAAGATTCTTTTTCCCATTGATCAATTTTTTGTAATAATGAATGATCAACTGATATTTGTTCAATATCATGTTGAAGTAAATCATGTTCTTGCATAATACCATCTAATTTTCCAGCTAAATATTGTCGATGTTCAATAACGTGTTTACCACAAAATGCTTGTTGACATCCTTCACAACTTAATATACCACCACTCTTTTTACACGTAGCACATGGTTTTTTCATCTTTGCACTAGCACTCATTTTGTTTGTTGTATAGATTTGTTTTGAATAATATTCTAGCGTGAAAGTGTTATAGAGAACAATACGTTTATTATTTCTAATGCTTTCATTGGAATTCGATATAAGCGAATGAAAAATAGAATTAAAATATAGTAAAAGAATTGGAAATGTTTTTCTTTTCGATCAATATAGGGGCACTATGACCCAGCGTTCATGGTTTTATATATTAAATATGATGATTCATTGAATTATAACAGTAACTTCATCAATTTATATTCGAGACGAAAAATATGATTTATTTTTCGATTAAAACTTTTGTCAAATGATTAATAAAATTTTATTGAATGATTAATATAATCATACGGCCATGATGATATGTTTATTGATCTCTTATAACTACACTCTGACTACTGCTGATAAGAAAGAAACTGCAACATGAACATTTCTATATCCTAAGTTATTAGTCGTAAACATTAAGAAATACATCTATCATATCATAATATTAAAATATTAATAACAAACTCTCATATTTTTCCTAATTATTGTTATCAAAGCAAAAAATATTTCAGTATTTTCCTCAATAATTTTAAGAAATACACTAACATTCTTTAGTTTTTGTTACATAATACATCGATAGTTTACAAAATTTTGCATCTTACTTACTCAAGTAAATTTGATGAAAACGAATGAGCTAAGCTTTTATATCTGAATCAATAAATACGGAAGATTATCAGTTCAGCTCGAATATTCTTCTTTTCACAGTAGTAGCATCATTATTGAATTGCATTATAATGTCAACTGGTCATACATATATGTGGTTTATATGTAAACTATGCTGATTGTATAGAAATTATTTCATTTGTGTCATAATTCTATTCAAAATGTTAGAAATCTTGTGTATGTATTCTGAGCAATTCATATAAAGTCTTTTCTATTATCCGAACAACTTTGTCATATCATATCTAGCTTTGTATACTAAATGGGTTTCGAAAAAAAAATGATATTTAGCATCGTAATATTTGAGCAGTACCAATCAATCTTTATGTGCAACATTGACAATGACTTAAACGATCATGCTTGTCATTAAATGACATGATTTATCATTGCTTTGATTATTTAACTGATATACTATGATTTATTCTAATAAGTGAATATATTCTACATAGATTTATCAATACTGATAGAATAGTTTTATTTATCGAAAATTAAAATTTATCTTTTAGGTAAAATTCTCACACAATCATCTTCATGAACTAATACAATTAGAATTTGCCATGGTAATGGTGCTTTATCTATATCAACTTGAAGTTTATAGGATTTGTTTATACGTTCATGAAATAATTCAATTTCTTGTTGATCACAATCAAATGTAAGATTTACAATATCATTTTTTTGAAATTGATTACTATCATAACCATGTATAGCTAAATTATTATTCCAAATTCCATGTTCATAAATTTCATTATAACCAAACCATCCAACAACCGACGATGAATTATAATTAAGTACTTGTTGAATTACTTCAGATGATATACAACCAAAGAAAATTATATATGGAAGAGTACATTGTACAATTTTAAATCGCATTGTATGACGACCTTGAGAATAAAATTGTTTACAAAGAACATGTCCATAATCTAAATCAGGACCATTATGTTTAACTATTATACCACCATTTTCAATAGAAGCAGGACCAGTTGTTTTGAAAAATAATTCTTCAGAATTCGCATTGAATGAATTTTTAATATTTGGATTATTTCTATACATATTTGGAAATTTATTATGTGTAACTGTAATAGGATAAATTGGAAATCGTTGATCTTCAATTAATTCAATTGAATATGATGATTTAATTTCTAATCGAAGATCATTTAATTTTTTTATCCATCGAATAAGATCATTTTCTGAAAAGTCATCTGTTTTCATTGATGACTTAAAATCATATGCGAGATCACGAGATATTCTTGTTAGTTGTCTTTTTGGTTTATCAATTAATTGTCGTAGATCTGTTCGTGCCATTTCGGCAGCAATTCTTATTTTTCTAATTGATTCTTTTTCCCATCTATCAATTTTTTGTAAATAAAGATATTCATTTGATGATCGTTCAATATTTTGTTGAAGTATACTATGTTCTTGCATAATATTTTCTAATTGATAAGTTAGTTCTTGTCGATGTTGAGCAGCATGTCTAGAACAAAATGTTAATTGACATCCTTGACAAACTAATAAACCACCTGTTTTTCCACATTTGGCACAATGTTTTTGAGCAGCGTTGCTATTATACATAGTTTGTTTTATGGATATGTTGCTAGAGATCGGTTGCAAAAACGAAAATCACTGTAAAAATTATATTTTAAGAACGAATGCAAAAAGAAACAGAACGAAACATGCATTATTCTTTTTACTTTTTTTTTTTTTAATATTATGAGCTAAAAAAAAGGATAAGAATGTTGAAAAGTTCTTTCTATGGTATCCGTTATTATTATTTTTTAATTAATTTTATCGATGCATTGACTGATTGATTTTATTATGTATTAAATTTATTTCTGATCAAATTTGAAGATGTTGGCAAAAATACTCGGGTAGAAAATGTGTCTAAGTTGCAAATATTTTATTGTAGACGAAAATGAAAAGTATGAATTCGAAACTAATAAAAATATAATAAAAATATGATTCTATGCTCTGCACTCTTTGAGATTTTGAACATAGATGCATTACAGGTCAAAAATATAAGAAAACGTGTTTTTAATTTTAACTCAAATCCAAAGAATTTTTTTCAATCGCCAATGTATTTCATACCGAATTTTTATGGATAGATTATGAGAGGAGAGTTTCTAAAAAATTAAACACGATCGTTCTCAAATCCTAGAAAAGTGTGTGAAACTTAGTTTTTGCAATTACTGTTTTAAAGAACAGAAGATTTTGAATACAATGAAGGATGAACATACGTTAACATGACGTTTAATTAAAAAGTTATAAGCATCACAAACTAAGGATAAATACATTGTTTGCCGATTTCTAGCAATATCAGGAAAAATTTCATTTTGTGATGCTTACAACACGCAGCTTTCTGGAATCTGAGAAGAGCCGTGTTTCGTTCTTCAGAAATCTTTGTTACATAATCCATTCATGAAATTTCTTTATGAAACGCATTTGATAGAGAACTACATTAACTGTTCAAATCATTATTTGAATTTGAGTTAAATGCTTGGTATCATAGAAAAATATCAAAAATACCTTAGTTTTATATATGTAATAAGTAAGATAGGTTATTAATAGTTTTTTTTTTAATCACCAAATCTTTCATAATGTGATATTTCATCGTCTTTACTCTGCTGAATGTTCGTAAGCCATACGCAACTACTTATTCACCTATTGAATAAGTTCTTTGAAACGGAAACCTTTTCTACGAGTGTATGTATTTCAATCGATTGCGAACGAGTCGAATAGAAAAGAAATGCAAATATTGATCATGACAGTACTTATCGTCGAAACAGCAATTTTCATATTGTATCGTCGCCTGGTCCTTAAAAAGTATCAGAGAGTAAGCTAAAGATACTGATCATTCTAATTAATAGCCTAAATTGAATGTCTCCTCGGTGGAGCAGCAATTCTATTGATTATTGTCATTAATAGAATAATCCATCCGTGCCATTGGTCTGAAAGTCTATCCGTATAACTATCCTACTAGTTTAGTAAGGCCACTTAACTTGTATCATATTAGCAATAAAACAATGCATTTCGTTGTAAAGCAAATATAGAATTATGGGAAGCTACAAGAATGTTAACACAATCACATAATTTTTACTACTCTGATGAGTAACATATATATTGAGAAATAATAATGTGAGATGGAAGCTGAAGACGAGTGGCGATCACAAAATACGAATGTTCATAGATCTCAATAAGATTGAGAAAATACGAAAATAATTTAGTAAACAGACTGTTCTACATAATATTGCACACTATTATTTGCTACTTTTGTATCAGTACAAACATTATTAAAAAAAACTCTTGTAATATTAATTTATGAATACTACATAGATCAATATCATGATCTTTATTTTGTCAACAAATTAGTCGAAATCTAAATTTAGCAAATGAAAGTGAGATGATTAAAGGATTCTAACACATTCATTCTTGTCAATTAGCACTATAAGAAAATGGCCGAGTAAGCAGTACTTCGTTCACCTTAACTTGAAGTATGTATTTTTGCTTGTATTTTCGTGATATAATTTGATTTGTTTCGTTTTTCATATTCAAGTATACATTTTGTTGCTATTATAACTATGCAGATTTGAATTACCAGAGTGTGTATCATATCGATATACTTTATTGTAACTTAAATATCCACAAGTAAAAGGGATGTAAATAGAAATTCCACTATAAATCGCTTAAAATAGCATACGAACAAAAAATATGTTATATGGCACATCAAACTATTTGATTTTAAATAAGATCATATGTCAACCTTTGGACTATAGCTGCTTACCAAGAACATATTCATAATTCGAATAGACCGACTTCTACTTAGCAAGCAGATCTTTGTCATCGAGTGTCACATTACCAATCACTTTTGAAAATCTGCCTTGAATCGTTGGAATTGACATTTCCAATGTAGTTATTTTAAATGTTGCCTTCATGGATTTAATTCACGTTTAGAATACTCATCAGCTCCCTTATGATGCGAACAAAGATTCATTGCAATAGCATGATATCTTTCTTTTAAAATCATTTCTTCGGTTTATCAATCTTTTATCGTAATTCTGCTTGAGTAGTATTAGTAAACCATTTCAATTTCCACGATTGATCCTTTTTTTTTCATATATCAATGTTTTTCAATAAACAATATCTACTGAATGATTATTCGATTATTATCAGTGTTTAATAAAATATTTAGTATACAATGTTTATTGATATCAATTGCAAGTCATAACAGTAGTACTTTTATGACATGTTATTTCATGTCTTTTTAAACATTGTACTCTTATTGAATTAACATTATGATGTAGTATAGATAAAAAAGACTTGTATACATAGAGACAAAAGAAAGCAAAAATGAAAATTACAAAATTGTTCGAAGTTCTTTTATTTTAATAAAAAAAATGAAAGAAAAAAAGACTACGTGCTTCGTAAATTACAAAATGTGTGTTGGTTTTACTATTGGTTCAACAAGCGATTTGGTCACAAGCTTCAGAATATGCTAAAATATTCAAGCAAAGAATCGACTGAGTTTAAAAATTTGAAAGTCAAATAAGAAATATTATAATTAATAACACTTCATATTTCGATTTATTAATCAATATGTGATTGATACAGATTGACAATCTCATTTCGATGATTCTTTTTTTGATCTAATGTGTCTTGGCTAATAATCATATAATTACATTCTTCTTCACCGAGATTGAAAAATAAGTCAACACACACTAAATTGGTACATTCATCTGCATTTTTTTCATGTTCTTTTTATTTCCTTTTTTTACGAAGATGTAGTGTTTATTATATTTCTTTCGTTAAAAGCAAAAATAAGAATTCCTATTTTACCATAAACGACTATCTGAATAATAGCATCACATTTTCAGTTCCGATTAAACAATACCGTTTGCATTATGGTATTCAATCATATTTTTAGTGAAATTAACCATTTTATTCTTCATCACAATTTTCACTGAATGAGTTTAATTTATAAAACCAAATGCTTATTTTTTTTTATTGTTATAACTCAATATAGAAATGACATTTTATTTTCATATTATTATATAGTCATGAAAACCATTGAAATATTTTTAAAACTAAAAAATAATTAAAAACTGCCTGGAACTTGTCATTTCATCTTTAACATTGCTCAAGATTATTTATGTAACATTCTTCGTGAATTGTTGCTGTTTTAGGTTATATAGTATCATGTTAGAATACAAATGATGAAATAGAAATTCATTTTTTATAATATGATTAATGTTCATTTGATTGTTTAAGTTTGAACTGACTTCTAATATTTTTGCATCAACATACTGATAAAATGTAACCTGGAAGAAAAAAAAACATTCGATAGTTGTCTGCACTTTTCTAACAATCTCTTACTTCTATTTATTGTCAATAATTTATACATGACCAAGAATTAATAACAGAATATTTTTCTTTAGAAAAAAATATTATTATATAAAAGAGAAATTTTAAAAATTTGAGTAAATTTTTTGTCTCAAATCTTTAATTTCTGTTTGATTTACACAAAGAAAACAAGCATATTGATCGAGATATTTAATAAGTTAGTGGTGTTTCATTGAACGTATCATTTGATGTATCTATGAAAGCATAATAAACTTGTTGAATAAGTGGTCCATTATTAATTGTAAAACGCCCAAGAATAAAAACTGCAAATAAAAAATGTATGATCGCTAAAATAAAAATTTCATAAAATTTTCGTTCGCCTTGTCTAGTTCGAGCTAAATGGAAATAGAAATTATAATGAATATTTTTTGTAAGTTATATAAAAGTTGTGTGAAACCTCTGGGTATTGATGATACAATTTTCTTCTCATGAGTTAATTCGCGAATTTGCTTGATAATTAAAAAAAGTTAAAAAGAAATAAAATTTTGCTAAATCTAGTCTTACTTGTTCACGTGCGATAGTATCAGAATATGTCGAACGCATTCTGAAATTGACAGTATGTGAATAAGAAAGAAAAAAAACTGACAAGAATATATTTTTTCTTGTTTTTTAGATTTTTTGCTTATTAATGAGTAGGAAAAGAAAAGATAGAATGACGTCTTTTTCTTTATTTAATGTGTAACATTAAGTATGCATTTAAGTAGATAATAAGGTCGTTGATAGAGAAACACAACATTATTTATCTAATATACCTTACTGTATAATAGGTAGATTAATACAACATCGTCATTTACTTTGCCTTTTCTATACTTCTTTTAGAAGTACTATTTTAATATAAAAGAAACATGAACTTTTCTTTTAGAAAGTTGCATCCTATACTGTGATATTCAATATTAGTGCAAAGAAGATTAATTTCTATTTAATAGTATTTTCCTTATAAGAGGATAATTGGAATGTTTTTTTAACCTTTAGATAATGTTGCTCAACTAATATTTTATGGATACAAAGATTCGAAAAAATTTTGTTCTTTTTTTGCCATCAAGTGTCTTGTCATGTCAAGAGGCTTTTAAATTAACGAATAGGAAGTGTCCTATATTTATAGTAAACGAAATAAATAATTATTCAAATTGTATTGTATAAAGAGTCAATAAATTTTTCAAGAGAGCATGCATAAGAGAATCAAGAAATCGAGACATTGGTCAAAATTTAAAGGTGATATTAGGTCCTATATTGTTTTCGAGGTGTATCGTCGTCTTTCTGTTTTCTTTGTTCTTCCTCTCTAAATTCTAATCGTCTATATGGCTACTTCTTAATTGCGGACAAAATTTCAGCCCTCACTCACACTGTCGGCATGCTAATTGCTTTGATTTTCGTCCGCAATCAAGAAGACACGCGTCTATATACATGTACAAAAAAAGAAACAAAATTAGACTAAATCTTAACACCGCGATTTCTGTTTATGTGAATAAGGAAAATTTTCACTTCTACATTCGAGTGCGTACTAAACTTGATTTACAAGCAAAAGTTCTTTATGATGAGCCGTGTTCTACATTCCATGATCATCTGCCAGCATTCAGTGCAAAAGATAGACGGTCTAAATGATTTCATGAAGTTCGAGCAGACATTGCAGACAAAGAACGGTTTGGCACACCTCCAATAGAGACCACATATGAAAACATTGAACAAGTTCACATAGTCTATTTAATAATAATTTCTAGATTACAATAGAAGAAATGCTAGTTCCAATTAATCTGAGCCATGATACCATTCAAAGAAACATTTCCAAACATTTGCAATTGAAAAGAATTATCGCTCGTTACATGTACAAGCAGCTTACTGATTATCAATGAGCTGAACTAGTCCGAATACCCAAAGATAATTTGGCGATATTCGAAGCAGATAGCCAGCGATTGTGTGATGTTGTAACAGACGACGAATTCTGGGTTTATCGTACATATTTTGGTCGAGAGCGATTGAATTTTGCTTGGGTGGCAAAAGAAGATCCGTCACCTACAATAACACGACACAATCCTTCTGTTCGGACAATTTTATGCAGCACCTTCTTTAAGCCAACTAGTCTTATTGTAATCCATCATGTGAAACCGTGGCAAACTACTGACCACTAGTTTTACATCGATTATTTTTTTGCAGCCTCTCGTCAACGAAATGAAGAAACAAATACTATCCTTTGGTGTCCGTGATATTAAAACGAAAGATCACAGATTGCTAAAGATGTGTTGATTATCTTGAATCTGAAGGTATCACAGCTATTTCGTAACTTTATAATTCTCTAGATTTGACACTATGAGATTTTCGGCTATTCGACATAATTATACAAAATAGAAACAATTAAAGGAGTTTCAAATTGATGTATCGTGCTACATCGAAGTTGATGAACTCTTAAAAAAAAGAAGAGCATAGGCAAACGTTCGATAAGTGGACTCAACGAATACAATTGCGTATTTGAAAAACTGCGACGATTATACGAAATTTCTCTTTGTACTGCCATAATTAATTTTTGTTCACTATAATATACATATATATATATATATCAGCAGACGGCTGCGCATAAAGGGAGATGAGACAAAGAAAAACGAAGAGAGAAGAATAAAGAATGTCAAGAAGAGGACAGACATTGTAGACAAAATTTTATCTAATATTACCCTCAAATTTCATAGAAAACTCCTCTTATCACACTTTTAGTACTATGGTTTTAGTTGAAGAATGATCAAATATCACAGAAACCTAGAGCTTTGTTTTGTACTATGAAGCCATCTAAAGAAAAAATTTTATTAAGATTTTCATGAGAATCTAAAGTACCTTGGTCACTATTTTTGTTGTGATCTAAGCATATATATGTTACAGTTTTGAGGTTATCTAAAAGAACTTAATATAAACCCTTTAATGAATGTTTTTGATGTTTATATATTGCTGAGGTTTTTTAGATAAATATAACTATTGTTCTGATTTCTCGATCGTTCAGATAAAGTTTTAAACCATGTATAAGTCAATTTCAGTGCTACTGCTCAAGCTGACCGTTTTGTTAGCTATCGTATATTGATTCATCAATTTTTCTCGACAATTTATTAAGATCATTTTATGATTAGCTTATTATTCAAAAGAAAACCGGAGTTCACAATATCGGCAACAAATATTGATCAAGCCTAGTTTTAGATGCTAAAAACAATTTCTTGTAAATTTGGGTAAGTTTCTTCTGATGAAACTTCTAGTAAATGAGTGATTTATCTAACGAGAAATTGTTGATGATGAATACAAAAACAATCATGGAAGGATAAAAAAAAATTATAGGTAAGAACTGTGCATCATATTATTTTTCTGATTGTATTCAATCAATTATTTGAGCTGCTATTCAAGTGTTTGTATTTGAAGATGACAATAATAAAACTAATTGCTTTTGGAAATATAAATGTAAAATTATTCGAGGAAATCAACGACAAAGATTTATAGATCGTAAATTTGTTTTGTGAATGTTTTTGATTTATTTTTATTTCAATTTCTTTTCGCAGATCGACAACAGAATAAGAAGCAACTACCATAAAAAACAGATGGTCATAATGGAGAAAAATCACTGCTACCTACTGATAACATTGGATAAACATTGAAATCAGACTGCAAGAAACAGTTTTTCTTTTATAGGTATTTTTTTTCTAGCTATGTGTAAAAAGTACCTTGCAAAATTCAACTCATTTTTATTTATTTAAGAACATGTTTTATTTGTGACTTTTTTATTCATCTCTCAGTTACAAACTATGACAGTTGTATGGGTAAAAAACATAATTGTGGAACTTTTTCATATTTTTTGTATTGTGAATTTTTCGTGATTCCAATTTCGTTTCTCTCATGATTTGCTCACTTCCATCATCCTGTTTGTCGAATAAATTGAAATATTTCCGTGATGATTATCATTTTATTTACTTTGACATGTACGCATAAAGAACGAGGCCAACTGTTATCATTGATGAACCAGTAGGAATGAAATACATATGTGAACTAAATAATAAATATAGTTTTAATTAAGATATGAATAAGTGGTTTTAAAAATAAATGAGTGTTTTCATATGGATACTTACGTCATTTTTTAACGTTTTTCATGATATTTTTGGCAAAATGAAAGTGACAAAATAGAATTTTTGCATCTAAAAACGCTTTTCGGAAAGCATTGAACGCTGCTAATTCAAAATCGATTAAAATATATGTTAGAGCTGAATCGTATCATTTGTGTATGCGTATAGTATTAATGACTGTAAAAGTGGTAAGTATATTTGTTTGAATTTATCAACAAGCACCACAAATACTAATGGTTTTATCGAAATTTGATTACATTCATGTATTGTGTACAATTGTGTAAATATTTTCGTAACTGTTTAAAATGCTCCATCTGCATTCCACGTATCATATTGTTCTATTAAAAATGCAAATAAATTTATATATTCTGTACAGCTAGGAGGAAGTACTATGAGTCAAGTCTCAGAAAAAAGGTGAAAAATCTATACATGAATTGGAACTGTTCAGAGCTTGTCATCCGCTGAAAAAATCTTTAGTCTGTAAACTGAAGATACCTTATTTTAATCTCTGGTCAACAGACAGTATAGTCTTCTGTTGTATCGGATTAGATTTGCTAGGATAACTTTGATATATACTTTTTTGTGCTGCCATATTATAAAAATTATTTATAGAGACGACGTTGCAAAATTAATTTTGTGTGTTTGAGTAAAACAACAAAGGATATCAAGTTGTTTCAGCACAGTAACTCAATCAAAAGTGAGAAGACGAGAAGCTCAGTCTTATCACAGAAACATATGTTTCGTTGTATTGATTCTTTGTTAGGTTAACAGGTAAAATCATATCATTCAATGATCCTGAAAGTTATGGTACAACAATAGCACAATCACACCACAAACATGATCTTAATACGTCGAACATATTCATTGATTCAGCAGATTCTTTTTGTTATTGTTAAATATGAATTTATTGTAAAGAAAAAGAACTAAATATTCTCATCGTTAGGATACAAGAACATCTATGATTGGTACATATCTCCTGACATATGCCATTTTCATTATGTTTTTTTCATTAGTAGAAGTTTTCTCGAAACAGAATCGCTTTGAAGTCTTTTTTTGATTGAGTAAAAGACTGCATCGTTGTCAAATATATCGTTCGAAAAGTTTTCCTTTGTGATTTTGAATTGAAAAATTCTAGAAGTGCACTAGAAAAGGTGTTTACTTTTTTAGAAAATAGAAGAAAAAAACCATTTTATTATCGTATGAGTGGAATACTTTAATTACTGAATCAAACTTATTTGCTAAAACAAACAAATATCTATTAATAAGAGAAAAACAATAAAAAATATTTCATACGACAATTTGTATCTTATTTCTCTGTTCGTTCGTGCTATTAAATGTGCTCTTGCTGATTGAAATATCAGAACTTTTTGACTTATTTCTAAGATTTCCTTCATATTTTCTGTATTGACACCAGGACGCTATAAATAAATAAATAATAAAACCATGAAATAATTGGTA